CTCCAGAATCCAGATCAGAGGCTGAAACTGAGAACAGAATAGACCCTGGTACCCCGTTCTCTTTCAGATACACATTATAGGAGGGCTGAGTGAATACAGGAGCATTATCATTCACATCAGTAATTGTTACTAAAACGGTTTTCCTGCTGGACAGAGGAGGRGAGCCTGAATCWGTGGCTGTTATTTCAATTTTATATTCTGAACATTTCTCCCTGTCTAACGCACCGCTCGTCACCAGCGCGTAATTATTAGAAAAAGACGGTTTCAGATTAAACAGAGACCCTTTTGGAAGCTGTAAGGTGACATTACCGTTTTCACCGGAGTCAAGGTCTCGCGCACTGATCAGAGCCACCACGGTGCCGCTCCGTGCGTCTTCGCGCACGGGTTTAGGCTGAGAAGTAAAAACTATTTCTGGTGCGTTGTCATTAAAATCCGTAACATCCACCTGCACTCGACAGTGGCCCTCCATCTGAGGACTACCTTTGTCTTTTGCTGTCACATCAATATCATACGATTTGGCAGTTTCATAATCTAATGTCCCTTTCAGTGAGAGTTCACCTGTTAAAGAGTTTATTTCAAAGGTGGATGAAACAGATGCTGTTGTTCGGGAGCCAAAYAGATATTCTATTTCAGCATTTGAACCTTCATCTGCATCTGTAGCTTTAGGTTTAATAATTATTGTTCCTTTCATGCTTGTTTCACTTAATGATACTTTGTAAACGTTTTTCTCAAAAACAGGAAAGTTATCATTTATGTCAAGGACTATGATTGTTATCTGTGTGGTTCCAGATCGCACAGGATTTCCTCCATCTAAGGCTGTTAGTAATATTTTATGAACAGATTTTTTCTCTCGATCTAATGGTTTTTCCAAAATTAACTCTGGCACCAGTTTACCACTCTCAATTTCTTTTATCTTAAGAGAACAACACTCGTTTTTGCTCAGCGTGTAGGATTTAAGTGAATTGCTTCCAACGTCTGGATCCGCCGCGCTCTCCAACGGGAAGCGCGTGCCAACTGCGGCTAACTCTGCTATATTAAGAGATAATTCGTTAGAAAGGAAACTTGGAGAATTATCATTAATGTCTCGTATTTCGACCTCAATCCGGTGCAACTGTAGCGGGTCCTCTATTACAACCTGCAGCGGCAGAACGCAGCTGGCGCTTTGTCCACATAAAGCCTCTCTGTCTATCCTGTCAKTCACCAGCAGCTCGCCCTTCCCCGCATCCACGCTGAAATACTGCTCACCMGCCTCAGAGGCGACGCGCAGCTTACGGTCAACGATATCTGTGAGTCCCAAACCCAGATCTTTGGCGAGATTTCCAACCACAGTGCCCGGTTTTAGCTCCTCTGGGATGCTGTAACGAGTCTGTCCGTTTATTGTTCTCCATAAGAGGAAGAAATAATGCCACCAGAGCGCGAGCCATCTCCAGTCTCTGTATCCTTTTGTCTTTGTCATCCCCATTCTAAGAAAGAAGCAATTTCCATTCCACAAAAACGGAGCCCAAAAAACAAATATTAATATTCCAGATGAGCGGCATGTCCAGTCACAACCGGGTCCAAAATTAAATTAAAATAAAACATTATAGTCCAAGTGTTGGAACATATTGCCTCCTGTTCTCCCCTCTGAGCACTGAGATCACTGAAGCTGCGTGGGGGAGGGGGTAGATCTCTTTGTACATTTCTGAATTCTATTGGTGCTCAGCATCCCTCTCTGACTTCCAATCAGAGCCTCACTGAGCAGCACGGTTATTGAAAAAACCTACTGAAACACCGCAGAGACAGGCAGTTTGATAATCCTCTGACTTAAAAAAGGCGTATAATAAATTTACCTGGCAAAATAATTCATTTTTTTCGCTTTCTCTCTCACATACACACAAAGACCGTTTTACAATAAGTTTAGTGCAGCCATTAAAATGGTCTTTGGAGTCAAAAATGCTTTTCCTTTTGTAACTAAATATGWGATTTTAACATCTGGATTCATGAAGGTAACAAATTCGGAGGATACACAATAAAATCAGTMATTCATTACTTGTTTCATTATCTGTTTAAATGACATAAAAAGGCAGAAGTCAGGTTTCTCCGCGTTTCTCAACTCAATGTCTCTGTCCACCTCTGTGGTGCTGAACTCAAAAACATATAAATTCTCCTCATCTGACACTCTCATTGCTGTATTAATATTTTTTGAAGCATAAAAATACTATTTAAGCAAACAAATCTTACCACATCATATGTTATTTTCAAATAGTTATGCATAATTCATAATAATTATTCAAAAATTGCAAACATTTCATGCGCTGATAATTTAAATCATTAAATACTTTCACAGTTATTTCTCAGAATTACAGCGTGAAACGTTTTTATTCAAGTTTAACGAAGTAACATTTCTTAATACTCGCTCCTCACCTGCTGGCTCTCAAAGGTCCAGGTGCTGTCAGGTAAGGACGCATCCAGAACACTGACGACTTCTTTAAAGTCTGTGGTGCTGCTGGGTTTAATGAGAGTGAAGTCACTGTACTCTGACATGGGGGACATGCAGGACCTGAAGGACTGGCTCTGAGACATGACGTCTCCTCCCAGGACCTCCACGTACTTGATGGGTCCATCAGTGTTGAGCTGGATCTGCAGGTTCCTGTTGGGCTTCTTGTAATCCTCACAGTCGCTCCGTCTCATGCAGCAGGTCCCGCTGCTTCTGCTGTTCCTGATG